TGCGAATCTATCTAACTTAGTTAACCTCCCCCTCTCCGGAGGCGCGCCTCCTGCGGAAATCGGGGGAATTTGGAGAAGAATCAGAAATAAAAGACGATGCAGGTGTCTGCCCTGCTACTGAGAAGAAGAAGGACATAAGAAGCAATGAGGCAGGCCATGGCTGCTACAGGGGGATTTGTACGGTGAGGCGCACTGTCCAATATCTGCTACCCAGGGGTTTAAATTCGGCCTCAATTCATTCCAGCCTTGATTGCTCGAATCTTATCGAGCCCTTCTGGGGTTAAGTGCTCGCCCTCGCGCATCAGAGATGCGACACTGCACCAGTCTAAATAATCTAACCGTTTCTGGCTCTGGAGCGGGTATTGCTGAAAAAAGGGGATTATTACATCGTTAATTCGCCAAAGGCGCGGACGATATATTTGTATTTAGTTAACCCGTCACGCGCCACGTAGCCGCAATTAAAAAAGGAAATCAATTTCTTCGCTCCAGATCCCGGCTATGTTGAGTAACACAGAATTCGAGCTGAACCTGGTAACCTCACGCTAAGGACGAGTTCCTGTATATCCCTACTTGGAATGTGCAATCGCCGTCGGTAAAACCTGAAACCCAGTAAGGGTTTAAAATCGTGTTATTGTTATTCATTGTTAATAACGACATTACGGACCTCTTAGTCTAATGTATCTCAACCCTATCCTTCTTAGCTGCCGGGCGCTAGCTATCAGGAAAGGGGAAGTCTGTTAAAATTTCGAAGAATTACAGCGAATTAGCTAATTTTTAAACTATACAAAATCCCATCAATAATAGGAGTCTCCATCAACTTTCACTTGTAGTCTCTGAGGTTGCCTACAAAGTTAGGGGGAGGGGTTACCTGCGGATCATCCTTCGGCTTACTACCCTTACCAATCGACTTTTATCGTCGAGCGTAAGCCATATAGGAGCTCCCCGCATATAGTGATTTACTTAATAAGTATATACTCATCAGGGCAGCAAAATAAGAGCTACCTTAGGCCACATTACTTCTACTCTCGTTGAAGGGGGACCTTATCTTACTAAAGTCAATTGGCTCTAACGGTTGACGTAATAGAGGAATAAAGAATAGACTTAGCCTAGGCGTAAGGTCTCTGTGGAATCGCGTATCTCCTCCTCACAAAATTGTGCTAGGTATAAGAATTGAAGAAGCCAATCAAACGGAAATTTGAGATAGATTTAGCTACTGTTGGGTTCGGGGGGGGGGGTAGTCAAGCTGTGGGCGGTGGCGGTGGCTGGCTGGCGGGTGTACACCCGCCCGCCAGCCACAGCCACGGCCACTGTGGATTAGCCACGGTGGCTCCAGCCGCCGCGTTTTTGGACGGCTGTTCGCGTTGGTTTTGTACCGTTTTTTATTTAAATTGTTTTTTCTATCGTATTTTCTATATTATAAAATATAGAAAATACGATAGAAAACAAAATTGTATATAAAAAACTTACAAAAAACGCTAAGCAGTCAAAAAACGCATTTGGGACTGTAAGGTCCCGGTCCCAAAAACGCAGGTGGTATCCGCGGCTGGTGGCTTTCCATTCTCGCGGATAATAGTTCTAACTTCATCGAGAGTCCGCTTACGCGCCTTTCCTTTACCCTCAGTATTCAACGAGTAAGCGAGCTTAACAATTTTGATCATGCCCTCTTGAGTAAGGTGCTCACCGCTGTTTTTCTAGGATTTCTTTAAACACGTCGAATTCCTTGGCCTTCCCTGTAAAAGGCAGAACTATGATAGGTAGAATGGTATCACGTAGGTATTTAAGTTACTCACCCCCGTGAGTACGTATTCCCAGACGAAATCCGAACCAGGTTTAGCCTGGACTCGCCCCTTACCTTCAAACAGTTGTTGAAAATATGTTTGCCGTTTACGGGTAACTCTGAACTCTTGCGTTTGGTCTTGGAATGGCCCTAGCGTGTTTTGTACATTTTTTATATACAGTACGAAGTACAGTATCTAAAAAATATACAAAACAGGCTAACCGACAAAAAACGCGGAAATACAAAAAAAAGCACCACACACACACACACAAACTATCTGTCCAAAAACACCCGCGGCTCGGGTTGGACACGTATTCCAAACTTAGAGGCAGACTGGCTTTTAATCGCCGCGCAAAGACTCCCCTCACCGCGAACCCGCCCGTACTTTTTGTTTTCCCGACACTTTGGGAGAATGGTAGTGCCGTATTTGAGAGCCTAGGGAGTTTGAGAGTTCTATGAATAACCGTAACATTTTTTGAGTAACAAAGGTGTTTTAACTCAATATTCAAACAGGAACCAATTTTAAAGTTTGTATTTAAATTTAGGCCGGTGACAACTCGTCAATAAGTACCGGGGGGCCCTTAGCCGGAACCCCGTAATCCCCAAAAGGGACGCCGGATGTCGGCTGTTGTGTTGTTTCAAACTGTATACAGTTATCCACAGTGGTAGGGGTTTGGGTTTAAGTTGAATGCTTATTGTGTAAGTACTACGAATCTTTGCTGACACAAAGAGGAGAGGAGTGGTTACGCTTTCCCGCTGATTGCCACAAACGCGCTAAGTTTCTACTAACAGGGCCAATTGGGAGTACGTTAGTATTAGCGGTATAGGTGGCGTCCCAGCGTACAGCCTAGTTTTATGACGACCCTAAGGATTATCGACCGTCAAGGTTACAGCCGCCATTGACTAGAGCTTCCTTCGGCACCCTCAATGCCTACGTTTACTATCTAGCATCGGGCAGGTATCAGACTCTATACATCCACGCTAGTGTTCGCAGAGTCCGGTGGTTGGAATAGGTAGGCCCTTACGGGCTTTCCCCTCCTCAGAACCGAGCGTGCGACTTTCACCGCACACGGCTCAAGCACCCCCCTTT